TGCTCTGTTGCCAGGCTGGAGTGCAGTGGCGCAATCTCAGCTCACTGCAGCTTCCATTTTCTGGTTTCAAGCAATTCTCCTGCCTCAGCCTCCTGAGTAGCTAGGACTACAGGCACGCACCACCATGCCCAGCTAATTGTTTTTGTATTTTTAGTAGAGACGGGGTTTCACCATGTTGGCCAGGATGGTCTCTATCTCTTGACCTTGTGATCTGCCCTCCTTGGCCTCCCAGAGTGCTGGGATTACAGGTTTGAGCCACCATGCCTGGCCGGTCACGGATCTTTAAGACACTAAAGCCTACATTGTTTTCCACTATATCATGCTACTACTTTTCACGTTTTATTGTAATTGCTTCTTCTTCTAACCAGACTGTGGAAAAGCAGACTGTTGAATGAAATATGGAAAAAATGAAATATACATTTGGAAATAGAGCGTATAGTAAACTAGTCTGAAAATGTGAGTTCTCAAATCACATATGGTTTCAGATCTAAGCTTAGCCACTAACAAGTTGTGATTTTAAGTAAATAAGTTAACATCTCAAAATTTTGTTCTTCACTTATAAAATGGGATGATAAATCTCAGGTTTGATGTAAGAGAAAAAGAAGGCCGGGCATGGTGGCTCACGCCTGTAATCCCAGCACTTTGGGAGGCCAAGATGGGTAGATCACGAGGTCAAGAGATATGGTGAAACCCTGTCTCTACTAAAAATACAAAAATTAGCCAGGTGTGGTGGCACACGCCTGTAGTCCCAGCTGCTCAGGGGGCTGAGGCAGGAGAATCAGTTGAACCTGGGAGGTGGAGGTTGTAGTGAGCCAAGATCACATCACTGCACTCCAGCCTGGTGACAGAGTGAGACTCCGTCTCAAAAAAGAAGAAAAGAATACACTCACATAGTAGGCATTCAGTTTTTGGTAGCTTCCATTGTCTTAATGAAGATTATGTCTTTATAGTAAGCACCTGTCAGATGGTCTTGATAAATACATCAACAGATATTTTAAGCAGAAGGAAGAGTAAAGCAGTAGTGTTGGCATTCTTTGTTGTACTCAGTTTTATTAACTGATTTTATATTGATCACATTCTTTGTTACATGTCAGTGTTATAGTAGCAATTCTTCAAATGAGGATTCATGTCTGTGGCATGTGTTATACAGTGATTCTACTATGAGGGGGCGTCTCCCAAAGATATCTCAGACAGAAACCACGTGGGCCTTCAGGCACAGATGGTCAGTAAATAATTACTTTACATTTGTGTCATTTCTTAGGAGCTGCAGAGTGGGACCTTAAGTAAGATCTTACCTACCTCCTCCCAGCCAGTCTATCCATACAAGGTTGGACCTAAAGCAGCCTTGAACTTAGTAATGATGTGTGTTAGAAAAAGGATACTGAGATTAGACTGAGGTGGTTCATTAAGTCAGCATTTTCTGACAAAGGGCAAACAATGTACTGCCTGAGGTGTGGGGAGAAAACAGGAAAAGCTCAACCTTAATTTATATTTTGCAAATTCACTTGATTGTGTGCGTGTTCATACATATACTTTATTTTTATAATTTTTTATTTTTTAATAGCAACAGATTCACTTTATTATGTATGTGTGTTCATACACATACTTTATTTTTATTATTTTTAAAAATTTTAATACAGACAAGGTCTTATTATTGCCCAGGCTGGTCTCAAACTCCCAAGCTCAGGCAGTCTTCTTGCCTTGGCCTCCCACAGTGCTGGGATTACAGGCGTGAGCCACTGTGCTCAGCCCATACATGTAGTTTATAAACAGCAAATACACACACAAATATATACATATTAAAGGTACGTGGCCAGTTATTTTAGATAGGACTATGCAGTTTTAAAAGGTTAGTGACTTCTTCAGTAAACATTATTTTCTTCTGGGAACTTTGAAAATTAGCTCTACGGATTAGCATTAGACCCATCATTATGTGGTCTAGTAAGTGAAGACCTCAGTGGTTGCTTAATCAGCATTTGTATTTCAAGCAACTACTGTTTTGATCAGATAAAGGGTATTGTCATAATTTAGAGGTGGACAGTAGTGTAGAGTGGTCGGTCTACAACTATCAAAACGAGAGAGGCAGGTCTTTTTAAGAAACTGTTTTGGCCGGGCACGGTGTCTCATGCCTGTAATCCCAGCACTTTGGGAGGCCGAGGCAGGTGGATCACGAGGTCAAGAGATCGAGACCATCCTGGTCAACACGGTGAAACCCCGTCTCTACTAAAACTATAAAAAATTAGCTGGGCATGGTGGCGTGTGCCTGTAATCCCAGCTACTCAGGAGG